AGATATGGTTCTCTGTACATTAGGATATACTGGAGGGCCGGTGCCTGGGACCACCCCCAGGGAGTCAGTTGGTCTAGTTGGTCCTAGGGGTTGGTATTTTTTATTTTAAAAACTTCCCTGATAATGCTAATGTGTCGTCAGGGTTGAGAACTACTAGAAGAGAGAGTAGATGGGGGGACTAGTTAAGGTATTGCAGAAGTTTGGAGAGGATAACAGAGATCCAAACCCTAGGACCCCAAGGATGAGAGAGAAGTTAAGGTGATACCAGTGTCTGTGCATTCCAGTCCCCATCTCATAACTGTGCTTCATCTGCCCATAAGCCAATGCAAGGAGGTAACAGTGTGGTGATGGGGTGAGGGGTTAAGGAAAGAGCACTTACAGGTAGGAAATGGACATTGGCCGAATTTTATTATGTAAATGCCCATCCTGCTGAGTTGGATGATTTTGTGTGCTCATGAGTTGGATGATTTTGTGTGCTCTATCCAGCTCTTGGTTTCAAAGGAAAGACCACCAAAATTCACAAGTTCCCTAAGTTGTCACCAATGTTTAAACCACCGATGTTTTCTACAACTTGAAGTTCTCCCAATTAACAGTCAATTTTTTCCTTCTTACTGATCGTACAGTTTTATATTTAAGGCCCTTTAAATGGTGAATGTTATAATTGCAAACCTAAGAAAGAGTAAATAAGACTTATGGATGGAGAATGCAACCAACAGTTACAGTTTGATGCAACTTTTCTTTACTTGGTCTGGTGGTCAAGGTGTCTTATTAGATAATCAAAGCCCCAAATGGGTTGATGTGAGAATATTGGGCGGGTGATGGGTGGCTAGATGTAGCAAATAAAAATGCAAGCTGCCCAGGTAAGTTTGAATTTCAGATAGACAATGAGTCATTTTTTTGTGTAGTAAGCATGGAATTCCTAGACTATACTTCTTTAAATATGGAATGTGTGAAATACTACACATATACTACAATATCATTTGTTGTTTATCTGAAATTAAAATTTAGTTAGGCACCTTGTATTTTATCTGGTTACCATATGATTGAAGAATACTAGTGCCTTCCATTTACAGAGTTTTTAGAGCACTCAAATGTATCACATTTCTCTTTTCAGACCCTTAGAGTCTGTCTCAAAAGCAGCACCTTCTTACCTTTTCAGAGAAAAGGGAAAGGGCAGAGGCTTTATGTTAGATTTTTGCTGTAATCTGATGCTTGCTATTTATTCATTTTTCAGAGATGGTGCTTTGGCAATCAAGTTATTTCTCTTCTCCAAGATGCTCACTTACATTTCAACTTGATTTTCAAGTAAACAAATAATTTTTAGTATAAGTATGTCCCAGCTGGATGAATATCATCAAAGGTGTCTTTTTCCTTCTGACCAAGGTTCCCAGAGAAGGATGGCATTCCACAGCCACACCCACATTTTCTGCCCTTCCCAGATGAGCAATGGAGGAGAAAATAGAAATATGCAAATATTCCCAGGCTGTTTGTTCTCTGTTGCAAGGAACACAGCCTTGGACGAATTATGAGATGCATCAGGGACCTGAAAGTAGGCAGGATCCTCCAAAGCAACCATCCTAATATTCTGCTTGATGCTGACACCTTTCATAACATTTCTAACAAGTAGCTATACAGCCTGGAACACTCTAGAGGTACTTTTTTTTTTTTTTTTTTTTTTAACCACTGTCTTCTTTACCATGGATTGTGTGACTACTGTAGGCTTATCACTATATCAAAAGCATAAGAAGTTCTTTGTATTAAACCAAAATATACATTTGCTGACATTTGGAAAGAAAGCTCTTTTACTTTCATGACTTCACTCATATATATTTAGAGAGAGAGAGAGAGAGACAGAGATCTTCCTGTCTACACCCATATATATGCTGAGGTTTGAGAGGTAAACTAACTAGTTCAGCAGGTAATTAGTGTTGAGCATGTACGCTCAGCCGGATCTTCTGATTCCAAATACAGTTTGCCCTATCTACTCTCCTACAGCCTCCTTACTTCTCTGCCAGTGGAGCAAATTCTCTGCTGGTTTAGATGCCTAAGCACAAATTCTTAGTTACTTAGTGCAAGCATTGCAGGGGCCCAAGGGCTGAATTCCAAAGGGCTTTTACATGCCTGTGTGTAAAAGATAAAGCCCCTGTTCATGTATAAGTCTGCAAATAGATGATAAAGCCCCATTAGTTGTTCATAAACTCAAAGGCAATGAGATATATCTCAAAGTAACTCCTGATGGTAACACCATGTTCCTCCTTTACACACAGGGTGTGTTTCCCTAACTGCTACCCTCCATGAGGCAAGATCATAGCTAATAGCCCCCTGCCTCCTTCCACTCTGGATGGGGACTGCTGTTTCCTGACTGAGAGATTTTGAGACTGATTTCATGCTAATGCCTGGTGGTTAAGAGTTCATGCTTTGTGGCTGGAATTCACCAGTAGCTCCTTGCTGTTCCTGAGGTCCTGTACTAGTTATTTCACTTTTATCGTGCCTCAGTGTCCCAATCAGTGGGAGGGGTACTGCCTGCTCCATAGTGGGACTGTGAGAAATTGATGAGTTCTTTTGTGTAAAGTGCTTAGAACAATACCAGGCACATAGTAAGGTCAATAGCAGTTATTGGTGGTGACAGTGATGCTCAAGCAAGGTCTCCCAAACTTTTGTGCCATAAATCCCCCGACAGTCTGGGGAAGCCTTGATTCCTTCTCAGCATCTTGTTTCTATTTTTAAAATTTTTTATTTAATATTTTTAATTGTTATGGGTATATAATAGTTGTATGTCTTTATAAGGTACATGTGATGCTTTGATACAGGCATACAATGTGAATTCATCAAATCAGGGTAATTGGGATATCTATTGCCTCAAGTATTTCCCATTTCTTTGTGTTAGAAACAGTCTAATTCCACACTTTCAGTTATTTTAAAGTATACCCTAACTTTTTGTTGAAGTTAATCATCCTCACTTTATCCCCCCTTTCTGCTACCCTTCCCGGCCTCATGCATTCATCCTTCTACTCTGTCTCCATGAGGTCAATTATTTTTAATATCTAGCTCATACATATGAATGAGAAAACATGAGATTTGTCTTTCTATGCTTGGCTTATTTCACTTAATATAATGTTCTCCAGTTCTATCCATGGGGTTGCAAATGGCAGGTTTCATTCTTTTTTTCTGGTTATATAATATTCCATTGTGTGAACTACAATTTCTGTATCCATTCATATACTGATGGACTCTCAGATTGATTCCAAACCTTGGCTATTGTGAATAGTACTGCAATACATATGGGAGTGGGGCAGCGCCTGCAGCTCAAAGGAGTAGGGCGCCAGTCCCATATGCTGGAGGTGGCGGGTTCAAACCCAGCCCTGGCCAAAAAAATTGCAAAAATAATAATAATAATAAATAAATATGGGAGAGCAGATATCTTTTTGATATGCTTATTTCTCTCCTTTGGATATATACTCAGCACTAGGATTGCTGGTCCATTTGGTCCTTCTATTTTTAGTTTTTGGAGGAACCACCATACCATTCTCCCTCGTGGTTGCACTAATTTACATTCCCACTAGCAGTGTGTGTGAGTTTCCCTTTCTCCACATCCTCACAGCATATGTGATTGGCTGTCTTTTTGATGAAAGCCATTTTAACTGGGATGAAATGATACCTCATTGTAGCTTTGATTTGCATTTCTCTGATGACTAATGATGTCGAGCAATTTTTCATATACCTGTCAGACATTTGTATGTCTTCTTTTGAGAAAAGTCTATACAGATCCTTTCTCTATTTTTTAATTGGATTAAAAAATAAAAGATTTTCCTCCTTTTATCACTCATTTGTATTTATATCATTTATCTTATACTTTTTTTGCATGAAACCTTTTAGGCTAATTGATCTGCCAATCCAAAAAGGTTTACATAGCATTCTCTCATAAATTTCCCAAAGTTTTAAAATCTGATATCAGTTAGGAATGCTTTCAGCTGCATGTAACATTTGTCAAATTAATGGTAGTTTATTTAAATAGGGATTTATTTTTCTTACATGATGAAAATTCAGTAGGTGAGAAGATCTGGAACTTGTTCATTGAATCAGCGGCCACATCAAGGAACTGGATTCTTCCTGTATTTTTATTCTTTTATCCTTCACTATTGATTTTACAGCCTCATTCTCGTCAAAGGTGCAGAATGGCTGGTGCAGTTTCATGCATTGCATGTGTGATCAGATCATAAAGGAGAGAGAGAATGAGTGATGCCAGCTAGCTCTCTTCTTATGTATACCTTTTCTGTCAGGAACACAATTATCTTTCCCCAAAACCTGGGTCATGTGATTACACCTCAATGCAGATGAGGCTGGGAAAGCAAATATTTGCCTTGCCCATAGCTCTGCAATGAGAGGAGCAAGTAAGAAAAGGGGTGAGAAGGTGCCTGCCACTGAGAATATAGAAGTCTGCTAATGAGCGTGGAACTGATACTTATGCCAGGGTAGAAATCTAGCAGTTTTCTGCTGAAGGAATTTGGAGGTCTTGATGGCCACAAAGGATTCAAGCAAAATTATTCTTTTTCCTTTTTCATAAAGTAAAGCTAGGAAAAAGTTTTTTGAATAAGTAGAAGTCATGCACAGCCCTTATGTAACTCTTCAGTTTTAATAGCAGGTAGCCTTCATATGTAAAAGATGATATTACACAACTAAACTAGTTGATGAAAACTGCCCTATTTAGCAAAATGTAACCATCAATCATTTATGTAAAACTAAGTTGACTCTGAAACAAATATTCCATACATCAAACTGTTCAAACACATCTGAATGTGTTATTTTTAATAGATTGGAGCTTTTATTCAATCCATACTATTTATCTTTGAAAAAGATAGATGGTAATCACCAGTATCCCTATTTTGGTGTAGTTGAATAGACATAATGGTAAATTGTATAAAATTGACACCCAAACTATCGCTTGATACAGAAACTTGCTGTAGAAACTGTAGCTATGACCTATTGCTTTGTGTCTATATCTGTTTCTGGAGTTGTCTTAGAGTCTTCCAGGTTCATCCTAATTGTCCAGACTGAGACCTACAGAAATTAACTGAACTGCTAAGACAAGAATGCAAATCTCTTCTCTCCTTTCTGAGAGAAGTACAGAGTGGATGAGAGCAACAGCTGCCACTGGGTCCTACCTAGTTCCAGCAGTTCTTTGCTAAGTTGAACCTTGGAAAATCTCTTTGCTGTTACCTCTCCAAATCAAGTTTCCTCATCTTTAAAATAAGGATAATGGTCACTTATTTATATGGGTTTTTTTAAAGCATTAAATGAATTTATGGAGCTAACTCACTTAGAACAGTGTAAATTACAGCTGTTTTTATCCTTTATTTCCTTTGACTGCCCATTATTATCATCAGCGTCATCCTCGCCATCTTTATTTCTGCTATTACTGTATTAAGCCTTATCAACTCTGTTTTTACCTTTTAAGTTACTCTTAGGGAATATAGGAGTGAGATTTATTAAAAGTATTTTTATTGCTTTATTTTTATAATTTTATTATTTTATGTACTTAATGCACCTTATATTTTATTACATTAAAATTTTTTTTCTTACTTTTTTTTGTGATGGGGTCTCACTCTATTGCCCGTGCAGTGACCTGATCATAGCCTATTGCCATCTCAAACCCTCGGGCTCAAGTGATCCTCCTGCCCCAACCTCCTGAGTATCTGGTAATGCAGGTGTGTGCCACCATGCCCAGTTAAATTTTTCTTTCCTTTTTTTTTTTTTTTGGTAGAGATGGGGTCTTGCTATGTTGCTCAGGATAGTTTTATTAATTTTATATATATATTTATTATTAATTTATTTGTGCTTTTGCTTTACAGCTATATTGTTCTAAGACATTTGATGCTGTTTTAAATTCTTACAGTACCTAGCATAGTAGCTTATCTGTGAATATTCAGTACTTTGAATACATAAATATTGCTTTCTTGCATGGAATCATCAAAGTTTAAAATAGCATTGTGCCAATACCATGCTGTTTTAATCACTATGGCCTTGTAGCATAGCCAAAAGTCAGGTATGGTGATACCCCCAGCTTTGTTTTTATTACTGAGAATTGCCTTGGTTTCTTTGGGTTCCATACAAAATGAAGAATTTTTTTCCAAATCTTGAAAGTATGATGATGGTATTTTAATGGGGATTGCATTGAATCTGTAGATTGCTTTGGGTAGTATAGACATTTTCACAAAAATAGAGACATTGACTTTTGGAACCAGATAGAAAACCATGAGATGAAACTAACATCTGATAGCCACCTGATTGATCTTTGATAAACCAAACAAGAACATATGTTGGAGGAAAAGAATCTCTATTCAATAAGTGGTGTTTTTGGGAAAACTGGATAACCACATGTGAAAGACCTGCACCTCTCACCACATACAAAAATTGATTAAAGATGGGTAAAAGATTTAAATCTAAGGCCATGAAACAGTAAAAATCCTCAAAGAAAGTATGGGGAAAACATTTGACGATATTGGCCTGGGGAAAGATTTAATGAAGAAGACTTCATGGCGATTGCAACAAAAACAAACATTAACAAATGGGACTTAATTAAACTGAAAAGCTTCTGTATAGCTAAGGAAACAACAACCAAAGCAAACAGATAACCTTCAGCATGGGAAAAGACATTTGCATATTATGAATTGGACAAAAGTTTGATACCTTTAGAGAACTCAAGTTAATCAACAGAAAAAGACCCCCAAATCTCATATATCGCTAAGAAAGAGAGATGCGTAATCCTTCTCTAAAGAAGACAAATGATTAAGAAACATATGAAAAAATGCTCATCGTCCCTAATTATCGGAGAAATGCAAATCAAAGCTACCCAGAGATAACACCTAACCCCAGTGAGAATGGCCCACATCACAAGGTCTCAAAGCTGCAGATGCTGGTGTGGATGTAGAGAGAAGGGAACACTTTTACACTGCTGGTGGGATGGGAAACTAATACAACCTTTTTGGAAGGAAACATGGAGAATCCTCAAAGAACTTAAGCTAGACCTCCCATTCGATCCTGCAATCCCACTACTAGGCATCCACCCAAAGGAAAAAAAAAAATCCTTTTACCACAGGGACAATTGCACTAGACTGTTTATTGTGGCTCAATTTACAGTTGCCAAAATGTGGAAATAACCTAAATGCCCACCAATCCAGGAATGGTTTAACAAGCTGTGGTATAAGTATACCATGGAATACTATTCAGGTCCTAAAAAGATGGAGACTTTACATCTTTTGTATTAACTTGGTTGGAGGTGGAACACATTCTCAGTAAAGCATCACAAGAATGGAGAAGCAAGAATCCAATGTACTCTGTTCTAATATGAAGGCAGTAGATGAGCTAACACAAGGGGTGGGGGGGTGGGAGAAGGAGCAAGTAGGAAGAGGAGAAGAGGGAGGTGGAGGGGGGCCACAGTGTGTGACACACCTCTTGGGGGCAGGACACAACTACAAGAGCTACTTTAACAAATGCAATCATTGTAACCTAATTCTTTGTACTCTCAATGAATCCCAAACAATAGAAATAAATAAAATTTAAAAATTAAAAGAAAGAAATTTGATGCTGTTTGAGTTATGTGATTTCAAATACATACTGATTAACATTTTAATCAGAAACTTTACTTATGACATAATTTCCAAAATATATCCTTGGCACACAACGTGTCAGGAGTTCTGTGCTGTCTAGGCATAGACTGTCTTCCATGTTGCTGAGTAGTGAGCCTTCCCTGCATTCTAGAAGGCTTGCCAGAGAAGTGAGAAAATGGAAGAGGAGAGAGAGAGCCGATAGTGTGTGGTCTTCAAAACCATAGATACCCCACATATTTTGCCCTAGACTGCTCGGTGGCCCTCCATGGTGGAAAGGAAGTGGGAAAGATACCGTTATTGGTGTTCGGATTCTGGCATTAGTTCTTCCTTCAGTTTTCTTGAAACAATAGCAAGTAGTTTTGCTAAAGGGTTGCAGAAGAAGTTGGTCCTCTCCAGCCTTCCCACTCCAGTAAACACTGTCATGGGGAATGAAACCTCTTCTGATTTCTTAGTGACTGTGTGTGTCTTCAGTGTGCCAGGTATGGAAAGATGCCATCTTCTCTCAGCTTCCTTGGAATGACTGAGTGAGGCCTGCTGTCATCTGTTTCATTGTTAGGCCCTTCCAAAGGCAGACAGGGCTTTTGGTTGTGTATCTGGAAGTCTCTTCCCACAGTACCAGAGCTGTGAGAAGTGTAGCTTGGTGCAGGTTATGTTTGCACAGGAACTTGCATTACACGTTTTGTCTGTTGAGTTATAAGCTTCTCTTACAACACACGCCAATATATAGATCATTGCAATAAACATTTTTGGTTTTGCTTTATTTCTGGTGCTGTTTTATGCTCCTGCCCTTGTTTCCTATCTTCTTTTTCATCTGCTTTGGATTTGTGTGGCTTAATGTGTTGCTGCAAGCCTCTTTAAGCCCTTTCTGAAACAAAGCAGGGACTACATGAACAAACGGGTTTTGTTTTTGTTTTTAACAGAAATCGACTTAAAGCTTCCAGAGAAGTAGAATCCGCAGACCTTCCAAACTGCCGCCTGATTAAAGGAATTGGTATGTAGGTAAAAGTGTTTGTTGAACACATTACATTGTTTGACCACCAATAATTGTTGAATTTTCCATGAACAGTAAAAATATTGGCTTTTCTTAGAGACGGTTTATGGTATTATTGTTCTTCTAATTCTAAAAAGAATTAGAAGAGTTAGAAGTTTCAAACCCTTGTTCTGCCCTAAACTTGAGTGGGACCCTAGGCAAAGTTGGCCTTTATCATTTTGACCTATAATAAGGAGTTTATAATTAGACCGAAGGTTTGTAGACTTTTAAAAATCTTGGACCATCTATTTATAATCTTACTCTGAGAGCCAAAGTATGGCAGAAACTAGATTATTGCGTCCTTTCTGTTCTTTATAACAACATTCTTCTCTAGAAGTAGGACAGACAATTTAATGTCTTTTTTTTATCATTAAGATATTAAAATCCTGGTTTTATGGAAGTATCTTACTTCTCTCCTAATAAGTAACATTGTTAAACAAATGTTGAGTGTCTTTTCATACATTTTCTGTCTCCGTACAAATACTCTCACATGTATAATTTTTAAAACATAAGGTCAAATTGTACATACTTCAAAACCAACTTTTTGCATTTAATGCAGTGTTTTGGAAATTTATTTTAGTATACAGAGATCTTTATTTAACACCTGCATGGTCTTTTTCTGTCCAAGTTCATATAAACTGTACATGTTCAAACAAGGTAGAAAGATATGAAATAGAAAAGAAAAATCTTTCATCAACTCTCCATCCCTCCATGTAAATAACTCTAGAGATAAAGTTTCTTTTTTGTCCGTCATGATAATTTCACTGCATATGCACTGAAATATATGCATATACATACATCTTCCCCCCCAAAATGGCATTTTAGTACCAATATTCCACAACCTGCTTTATTTATTCCACATCAGCACATGTAGGTTGACCTCGTTCTTTTTAATATTTTCCCTTTCCATGACTTATTTAACCGGTCAGTCCCCTTTTAACGTACGTTGGGTTGTTGCTGTTTTTTGCGGCTACAGATGAATCAGTGAACATCGTTGCTTTTGCATTTGTTTATCTGCAGAATACAGATTTAACGCTGGGATTGTTGTTCATTTAGGATATACACTGTACGACCTCCACAGTTGACCTCCTCCCTACCATGACCATCTCCTACCAGAAACCTAATTTTCATAGACCAGACATGCATCACATGTGTAAATCAGTACAGAAGGCCTGTTCTTATGTTGACCACCTCCATATGTTGAATACTTTGTCATAGTCCTTTGAGTGGTCTGCTGATTCTATGTTTAAAATGTTAATGGTTATTGCAAAGTAGCTCTCAGGTTGGCAGGCTTCATCGTTGTAGCCACAGTCGTCCCAGAGGGGATTCACAAGACTCCCTAAACAAAAACAAACCAGCAGTTGTCTGAGCAACTTTTTCTACGTTCAAGGGTTTTACACAAATCTGTTGCTTGCCTCTCATCCTTGAGAGGCCTGTTCCCATGTGTTTTTTCTCTCTCATGGCTACTTTTGTATTTTCCCCATCCTATCTCCTTGTACCTAGAATAGTTGACTTTCCTGGAGTTTCTCCTCTCTCTTTCAGTTGCCCAAACACTCGGCAGGAGAATGGAAACTCAGGGTCAAATAGCAGGTTGACTAGATCTGTGCTGGATAGTACAGATGGTTCTAGAACTGAAGTTGTTCTGCAGTCCCAAGTCACTTGGCACCTTCTGGCTGCAATCAAGAAGAGCAAGCAAATGCCAGATGGCATCTATAAGGGACGTTGGACAAGGTTGGGAGGTGGGGTTGGTGATGTCTTAGGTTACTTTTGCTACTGAGTTAATAATTGTCACATTATTAAACAGCCCTTTGCCCTGGGAAGCCCACCTTCTGTGAATTCAAGTCTCAGAGTAGACAGTAGGGCACAGCCAGATGCATTACAGGACAAACTGCCAAGTGTATCCCTGTTACAACTCACCGGGATGGAGCGCTCCTCAGAGAAAAACAAGCCCAGCACCATTTGTATTCTGAACAGGCATCTGTCTGTGTTTGTGACCTTTATGTTGTGATGTGTGTGAGCTGCTGTCTAGAATTGGAAAGAATGAGGAAATATGTCACCTATGGCCCCTCTTGTGAAGTGTTTAATGCCTCTGAGGCACTTCAAAAAGCAACAGAGCGGAGAGGATGAGTGATTAGAAGCACATTTGGGATACATTTTTACATCTAATTAGAATTGTGCTTCCCCCCCCCTTTCTTTTTTCGCTTTTGCCCTGTGGTTAGCACACGCCATATGAACATTTGTTAGTGATGCATAATGGTTAATAATAACTTGTGGTTATGTATTTCTAATAACAGTTGCGTATCCAGTGGTCTTCGATTAAAAGGATTAACAGTGTGCTAGACATACATTGTCCTGTAGGCAAACGTAACTTCTTAATGGTAGACAGCAGTGGTAGAGAGGACCATTTCCTATTTTCTCCTTTGGAAACAGCAACAGCGATGCACCTGAGGCCAGCTAATCCATCTAAGAGGTGAGATCCCCTCCCTCTTTGCCCTCCACCCTCACACACACACACACACACACACACACACGTACATGCTATAGTGCTTCCTTCATCATCGATGGAAATGAACTGTTTGCAACTCATAGGTGCTTTATACATATTATGTAATATCTTGTCTTTTTGTTTTAATAAATCACAGTTTTTGACTATATATCCTGTAGGATATATGCCTTCTGTGGGGCACACAGTATTGTAAATAGTGAAAGTAAGTTTGGCATTTATTCCATATTTTCATTCCTTGTCCATTTTACAGACAGAAAGTGTTTATATACACAAAATTTGGCATAATATCAACATACACATAATAAAAACTGTAGTGACAAGAGCTAGTTATGGGCACAGAAAGATATAAACCAAGAAGAGGGGAAGTGAGGGATAAAAACTTATCTCTGGGCACAGTGAACACTGTTCTGGTGATGGGCACACTAAAAACCGCGACTTAAGCATTACACAAGGTACGCAAGTAAACAAAACTATTTGTGCTGCCTTAATATTTTGAAATTAACACAAAAAGCTAGTTAACATTATGTGAGGCCTTTTTGTTTTTTTAAATCTTATTTTCAAAACATCTAGCCTTCAGAGTTGGGACTAACCCGAATTTTGAATGGACCATCTGTCTTGAGTTAACTAGCAGTTTTATGCATTTGGCAGTTAATACCTTTATAATAATAACTCCTGCTTGAGTGGTTGAAAAAAAAAAGCATTAAAGTTTGCAGCCTTTGTCATCAAGTACTTTACAATCTGACTATGGGGAGAAGAAGGGAAAATGGAACAAAACCAAAAACCAATGTGGATAGTCTTTCTTTTAAGAACCTGAGTCTCAGGTTAAGTCACTTTTGCAAATTCTCTTTCCCAAATAGCATCTTTTCCCAGGATGATTAATACACCTGACTTGTGAACTAAAAAAGTGGAAGATAATATGCTACCTTACATGTTGGATACTCTGCTGGGCATGGCAAAGGTTGATTTGCTGTTATAAAGTTATAGTAACTTAGAGAAGAGAAAAGTTTATTTTTATTTTTCTCCTATGTGTCAGTCCTAAGGTAAGCTGGTGGCTTAGAGTGGCTGGATGACTGTGTCCCAAGTGGTTATTTAGGGATGAGGGCTAATGAAGCAACACAACTACCTTCAATATATTATTCCATCTTTGTCCAAGACTAGAACTCTAGTTGCTGCTATTTCCCAGCAGGAAGGGGTAGAAAGAAATTTACATAGATATTATCTTTATTTTATTTTACCCAGTAGTTGTATACATCTTGTGTCCTTACATCCTATTGACCCAAACTTAGTTACATGGCCACATCTATCAGCAAGAAGGGTGGGAAATATCTGTAGCTATATTGCCACATGCCTGTCATAAAAAGGAAGAAAGAGAGTATGGATGCTGGTGAAGACTTGGTGATCTCTGACACAGACAATTGATAAAGTAAAAAGAAGCGATCAAAATTTGATGTGCTAAGCTAGAAGACTTTCTAAAGAAAGGGTCTCGAAAGAGGTTTAAGAAATTAGTGTAAGATATGAATTAGTCAAGATCTTGGTGAGAGTCATAGAAGCAAAACTTTTTGGGGAAAAGCCAACATAATGGAACTGAGCTTACAAAGCGAGTGTCTTTAGGGAGGAACCAGGGGATGGTTCTGGCAGAGGAAATTCATTAAATGCTAGCTTGAGTATTTCCTATGTGCTTTCAAGTCAGACCAAAGTATTTGAGCCCTAGCATCCTAGTTTGTGACCTTGAGCAATTTGCTTAATCTTTCAAAGGCTTCATATTCTCAACTCTAAAATAAGGGGTAATAATATTGTTTCTTGGCTCGGCACCTGTAGCTCAGTGGCTAGGGCACCAGCCACATACACCGGAGCTGGTGGGTTCGAAACCAGCCTGGGCCTGCCAAACAACAATGACAACTGCAACCAAAAAAAGCCAGGCATTGTGGCTGGCACCTGTAGTCTCAGCTACTTGGGAGGCTGAGGCAAGAGAATTGCTTAAGCCCAAGAGTTTGAGGTTGCCGTGAGCTGTGAAGCCATGGCACTCTACCTCAGGCGACATAGTAAGACTCTGTCTCAAAAAAAAAAAAAAAAAAAAAAAGATACCTGACTTAAGTGGCTGAAACAATAAAGATGTTAAAAAATATATATTGTTTCTTAGTATTATGAACTTATATGAGATATTGTATAAGGGTATTTACCAAGAGCCTGGTACTTGGTATGTGCTTAATGTATGTTAGCTGCTATCATTACTGTTATTACTGAATTAGAGGAGGAAAGATTTATCCAGCATTGGCTGATCTTGCAATAATCACACCAAAGAGGAGATAGGAGATGATAAAAGCCTATTGCAATATGGCTGTAGAAATGGAGATGGGGGAATAATTCTAGAAAATATTCCAAAGAAGGGTACATACAGGTTAACACTTTTTTCTCCCCACTGGAATTAGGCATAGGAATTAAACAGAAAGATGTTATAATGTGATTGAAATAAAGGTATCTTTTAAAAAGATTTTTCTTTTCTTGATTATTAAAATAATATTATTATTTGCAGATTTTTTTTTTTTGCAGTTTTTTTTCACCGGGGCTGGGTTTGAACACACCACTTCCAGCATATGGGGCCAGTGCCCTATTCCTTTGAGCCACAGGTGCTACCCTGTTTGCAGAAAATTTTAAACAAAGAGAAGTCTAAAGAAAATGAAAATCACTTGAAGTCATAGCACTCCAAGAATCATTGTTGATTTTTTCTATATATCCCTTTTTTTCTATATGTGTAAACATGTATACATTGAAATTAAATTCTCTTAAATAATTCTTGAGGAAAAACAAATTTTAACTAGTTCTGTTTCTACTAAATGGATCTGAAAAGCAAAACTTGGAGTAGAATTCCGTGTGTGTGTGTGTGTGTGTGTGTGTATTCACATGCATATTTCTATGTGTGTGTGCATGTGTATGGGGGGTAGAAGTCCCCTGCTTTCTGCTCATTCCCAATGTAAAACCATCATGGGACTGAAGTCTAGTGGTTCGCAACTTTCTTGGGTGGGGCTCAAAGACCCTTTTTTGAATTAGTGAAAAGTCAAGGACACTTTTCACAAAACATTCTCATCTGTACATACCTGAGACGTTGTGCATTGTGTAGACTATCAGAAAGTTCATAGATTCTTTGAAGCCCATTTGTGGCTCTTTAGGGACCTTCAAAGTCCAGGCTGAGAACATCTCCAATAAAACACACTTCAACTTAAATTGCACATGAACTTTACAGACACCCTGTAGATCTTCTTCCTAAAGCCCGGCAAATGGGTTATCCTTACAGATCGAAGCTCTTGGCATTTTTATTTTGTTTTATTTCCTCACTATGATAGAGCAAGCAAAACTGGAGTCAGCTGGCTAAATGCAAACTCATGAATCAAAATCAGAATGGCTGCATAGATAGACGTTGTTTGGCTTTGACAACCTAGGAATAATCTTGGAAAAATCCTTTGGTGAGGTCTTAAAGGGGAAGATTGGATTTTTTGGACTCAAAGAATGTGTCATGATTTGGCTTAATCTAAGCCATTTTTATGCCTCTTTTCTTGTGTTTGGGTCTATTATCTGTCTGCGGAATTTATACAGTGAGACCGCTGGGAAGGTCTTATATCTAATTATTTGCTGTGCTGTGTGAAGTGTACCCCAGACAATCAATAAACAATCAATAGTAATTGTAGCAGGCCTCACAGATGGGAGTTAGAAGCTTCAACTTGGCTTAGGCGCATAGTATTTTTCATTAATTTTCTTTTGCTAGTTTTTTTCCTGTAATTTAAAGCCTAAATTTAAAGATTAAATGGAAAGCTTTCATTGCTTATGAGAACAAGTAGGCACCATTTTTTAAAGAGGGACTAGGCAATCCCAGGTGTTTTATCTCCGTTAATGAGAGAAATGTCTGTTTGCTTCAGATTGAGTGAGCAGAGAAGAGGACAAGGATATTTGCATGGTTAAATGACTGTGAGCCCTTCCTGCTCAAAGTAATATTCCCCTGATGTCAATTACTTTTATACAGACATCTGGATGTTTATCATACGAGTCTACAGATGTCAACTTTTTCTGTATTGTAGCTGGAAATGTGGTGATAACTTGACTTTGATTTGAGTAAACATAAAATATCTAATATTTAAAGTCAAAAGTTCACTTCAGGAAGGGGTTTAAACTGACATTTATTAAAAAGAATGGTGCCTTGCAAAAATGAAATTGGAACCATCCCTAAAGATACAGGCACTCTGGTAAAGTAAACAAAGTCCCAGTTATGCTCTATCTAACAAGTAACAGAATTTCCACATGAGGTTTCTCTGCTCCTTGAACTTACAGAAGCTGGCTCTGAAGATATTGACATACTTCCCAATGGTCTGGCTTTCTTCAGTGTGGTGAGTGTCTTCTTCCTTCCCCAGACTCAGAAGAGGAGGTGGAAGGGAATTTGATTAGGCCTGTGAAATAGCAATTTGCTTTTAACATTCCTCATTTTCCAAAATATGTACTGAAAAAAAGGGTGGGTCAAAGAGGATTTTGGAAAACCTGTGTTCAAGCTTTTCTCAATGTAGAGATGAAGGCTCTTTGCCAGTTGATAAACAAGCAGTCCCCGAGTTACAAACGTCCTACTTATATACAACCTGCACTTAAGAATGGAGGCTGTTACAGTAACTTGTCCCCAAGTTACAAACATCTAGCTCACGCATAACTTGCACTTACAAACGGGGGCTATTACAGGTCGTGGGTAAATGTACCTCTTCCAACTTACATTCAAATTCAACTTCAGAATGAACCTACAGAACCCATCTCGTTTGTAACCTGGGGGCTGCCTGCCTTGCTCTTTATTTCCCTAATGCATTGCCATAAAATCTTCCATTGCCATCTGTGTTTTAAAGGTGTGTTATTAAAAAGGATATTTGAAGCAGTATTATGGACATTCAGTATGACCATTATACTACTTTAAATACAGCATCTACCCTTCTTTCCTAGTCACAGTCAATTTTAAGCAAATACACTTGCCATTATTAATTATTTTTGAACACTATACTAACTTTGCCAAACCAAGGCCGATGCTTTTTCTTGTCTGTTGCCCCCTGAACAGCTTGTCATAAGTGGAAAGTCAGCAATTGAGTTTATCTATACCCTTCACTTTGCCTTAATTCTTACTATAGAAAAAGCAATATTCTTTCTGGGCATATGATAGAAATGCTTTAAAATTGGTCAGCTTGTGTGATGCTGGCTCGCTCCAGTATCCATTCTGATTGGATATCCAGATGAGCAGGCAGATGAGGAGGTTCTTAACCACCTACCTCTCTGGCTTGGGAGAGGTAAGTGTCCTTGGCATCTTCATGGCTCTGGTTTTTCTTTAGGAACAAGTATCCAGCTCTAAACTCTCCCTGTATTTGTTCTGTTCCCTTTCAACATCCATTATTTTCAAGTTCTGAGACTCAGGAGGGATGTGAAAAACTTGGAGATACTTTAGAATAGAGTCTCCACACTAATAAAGTAGTTGTCAGACTTCTGTAAGGGAAAAGTGGAAGAACTCAGCTTGGAAGGGAATGAGGATTAGAACTCATCAGGGTTCTGATGGTTTTTATATGAAGAACTGTGAGCAGCTGGTGATTGCTACTGAGGGAAAAAAGACATACTGTGCACTTTGGCAGAAACGCCAATATTCATGTTTAATGTAAAAAATAAGGTTTTAAAAGAAAAGTTTCATATAATTGCCTACATAGAATGAATAAAGTGGTATTTATAATAGGGATCTGGGTTTATTTTGTAGAAGCGTATGCTTTCATATGTGTCTATAGGGTTAGGAAAAAACATGGAACTACTGATTGCAATCATTCATAGCTAGAGATGCAGAAATTCTGAATAAAGTAGAAGGCAATCGTATTGGTTTTCCTTTTGTTTGTTTTTTGCAAGCATGTGTTCGTGGAGGTCTGTGTGATCTAGAAATCATCTATAATCAGGATTTCTTTATAACCCCCGGAGGAATGAACCAGAAGTAGGCCAGATGAGCTCTCCAGGCACATCAATCTATAGCATTTTAGCTGAGGGGCATATTACAGTTGCAAAGATCTACCGTGTCAGTAGAATTTTTATTTTTTTGCTTTTTTCTATTAACCGTCTTTAGTTATTCAACCTTTTCTTCCTTTATGTTTTAATTTTTTGTAAATTTAGAAACATTCCCACTTCGCTGCCGATTTTCACTTCCTCATCATTATCTCTTTAACATTTTCCAACACATGCTCCCTTCTGATTGAAGAGCCCGTACATCATGGGGGTTGTTTATTCATCCTGGCACTCTGGCTCATCTGGGTCACTTTATTCCCCAGTTATGGGTTTGAGGGTCATGTCAAAACTAACATCACACCTGATGAGCCATTGGATGACATAGTATAAAGTATTTAAAAATTTGGGCGGCACCTGTGGCTCAGAGGAGTAGAGTCCCAGCCCCATATGCTGGAAGTGGCAGGTTCAAACCCAGCCCTGGCCCAAAAAAAAAAAAAAAAAAAAAATTTAAAAATTTAAACAACAGTGTGAATTTAATGCTATTAAAGGATTCACATGTAAATAGTGGATTTTATGTGTGTTTTACTGCCATTAAAAAGAGAAAAAAAAAGATTTAAATAGTAGGGGCTGTTAAAATTACCATGGATAGTGATCAGTGCCTGATAGAGCTTCCTGTGCACGTGAACCTGTTACTGTTTGGGGACACGGATAAAGAGTGGAGGTTACTAACAATAGTTAGTTATACTAACAATAACAAGTAGCCGCCCCACGGAGGAAGAACACATATCCAGTTTGTTCTACTTTCTGGGTCTGCCAACCATGAAATTGTGCAATTGTAGATAGATTTTTTTTTTTGAATTGGAGATTTCCTATTATGTCTAATTTTGTGTCCTTACAGTTGCATAAAATATGACTACATCATATTAGTAACTGACTAAAGTAGTGCAAGTAAAATTTATTATCACCTAGAAGACTTTTCTTCGAGAATGTAAGGATGAATCAGCATTTTGTAGATGGATGGATAGATAATTTACTATTTAATTGATTTAAAAGAGAAAGGACCTGGATCGTCTCAGTGCAGGCCAAAAAGCATTTAGCAAAATTCAATACTCATCCCCAATTAAAACCTCCAAGCAAATTAGAACAAAAAGGAAATTTCCCAGAAATTTAGAGCAAATATCTTTTTTTTTTTTTTTGAGACAGCCTCGAGCTATGGCTCTGGGTAGAGTGCTGTGTCGTCACAGCTCACAGCAACCTCCAGCTCCTAGGCTTAAGTGATTTTCTTGCCTCAGCCTTCCAAGTAGCTGGGACTACAGGCACCTGCCACAACACCCGGCTGTTTTTGGTTGTAGTTGTCATTGTTATTTGGCAGGTCCAGGCTGGATTCGAACCAGCCAGCTCTAGTGTATGTGGCTGGCACCTTAGTCACTTGAGCTACAGGCCCTGAGCCACAAATATCCTTCTTAATGGCAAAACATTAGCTTAATTCCCATTAATGTTTAGAACAGGAAGAAAATGCCCAACACCATCACAACTGTCAGTAGTCTATTGGAATTCTTAATAACCCAAGAAAACGAGGAAAAGCAATGTAAGATAGGAAAGAGAGGATAGTGCTGCCATTATTTTCAGATAACGTGGTACCTGTTTTTCAGACAAGCCAAGAGATTCACTATGAGAAAGAACTAAGTGGAGAGTTCAGAGAAATTTCTGGATTCAAAAGGAACTTATAAAACTCAATTTTATATTCCCCCCACATACTAGGAATAAAACAAATAAAAAATGTAATAATAATAATGTTCCATTCAGAATAATTTAATCTCTCATATATATAGTATACACATATCTTCTATATCAAGGCGGGGTAATTTAAAAAGTGGTATCCTGGCACAGAAATAAGCGTGAGACCTCAGAAGAGCAAAACAGAGTCCCCAAATGGACAGTGTATAACTGGGTCTAGTACATGATGAGGTGACATTTTGAGTGTCAGTGGGGAAAGGCTGCATATATGCCAGGCACTGTGCCCTGGAACTGGGATCTAGCAGTGAACTAATAAGTCAAAGTCCCCCCCTTGTGTTTTAATGGAGCTTGTGAATACACGTCAGGTGATGACAGTGCTTTATTAAAATGTAACACAAGGTGGGGCAGCGGGACATGACAGCTGTGGGAGGATGCCTCATGCTGACATTGTAGGCCTCTCTGATAGGCGACATTTGCCGAGAGGTCAGGTGGAAGGGAAGTCATGGGTCTTATAGAGTTGAGGGGAGGAGACTTACAGGCAAAAAGAAGAGCAGCACAAAGGCCTTGGGAGGAGCTGTACAGCTAGCTGTGCTCTGGGAGTAACAGGGAGCTCTTCGGGACCCTGTGTGTTTCTGCCCTCCGTTCCCTAAATATGTTGTATTTATTAAGTAAATACGTATATATATATGTCCAACAGCAGGAACGGCCAGGGAGAGAGGTAAGCCAGGGTAAGAGAACAGGATGGCGCAGGACAAGGGTATTTTGGTGAGAGATGGCCTCATTGAGAGGGTGACATTTTGTACATATATAAAGACATTGAGGGAAGAGACTCTAGATGCCGGGGGTGGAGGTGGGGAATAGTCCCAGGCAGAGGGAACAGTGTTTAAAAGCCCAGAGGCAGAAATCAAAAATGTGCTTGGTTTGTTGAAGAACATCAAGGAGGAAGAGCATTGTAGGAGATGAAGGAAGTGAGATAGGTGTCTGAGGTGGACAGAGCAGAGTGCCCATCACACAGGGTCTTTAGGCCGTGGGAAGAATTCTCTCTCTCTCTCTCTCTCTTTTTTTTTTTTTTTGAGACAGATTCTCACTTGTTGCCCTCTGTAGAGTGCCTTAGCATCATAGCTCACAGCAACCTCCAAATATGGACTTAAGCGATCCCCTGGCCTCAGCCTCTCAAGTAGTTAGGATTACAGAATGTTTGCCTTTAATTGGAGGGTGGTGGGAAGCCATTAGAGTGTTGTGATCAGGGGTGTGACGTGGCCTGACGGGGACTGGATGCTGAAGTGCCAGTGAACAGTAGGGAGTTAAGGACAGAGGCAGAAAGGCCAGTTAGGAGGCAGTTGCCACAGTCATGATGGGGATCTGGACCTGGGCAGCCAGAGGGAGGAAGCACGGACAACTGTCCGTGCCCTCCTGAAAGGATATATTTTCAAGGTGAAGCCGACAACATTTGCTGATGGACTGGAGGTGAAGTGTGAGGCCTGTGTCTGCTGACCACGACTTCTGGCATTGTAGAAGCAGCGTGCAGGCCCAAGCCTGAGAGCTCCCAGCCAGATAGTAAACAGTCACTTGTCTCCACCCTCAAGTCTGCCCGGAATCTCCTAGTCCACCAGCCTTCTGGTTACTCTCTGAAGAGAATAAATCTCTGATCTTGTGTCTCCATTCATCAAAATCAGCTATTGATCAGCTTTCAGCTTTCTAGCTCTCGATTAATGTTTTTTCTATTATCTCCTCTCTGGGCTTGTGAATGTATAAGAGAGAGAGTGTGCACGCTGGTGGCTTTATGCCGCCACCTTTAACCAGTTGCTATCGTTCATGTATAGTTTCCACTTTCGTCTACTATATAAGAATACTTAAGAAGCCTTTGTATTTAACTTTTTTCACTGTTTTGGAAAGGGTCTAAAATTTCCAGGACTCCACAGCTTTGCACCAGATAAGCCTGGGGGAATACTAATGATGGATCTAAAAGAAGAAAAGCTGAGGGCCCTGGAATTAAGAATCAGCCGTGGGTTTAATCTGGCTACATTTAATCCACATGGCATCAGCACTTTCATAGACCATGGTAAGAACCAATGAGCTACCAATGTTTAGAAACATACAGTGCTTTACAAATGACTGTAGAAGATGTATTTAGATCATATTTGTAGGAAGAGACCAATTAACTTATGACTTATTTCTATATGCGTCTACAAACACTTGCTTCTTCAGCTAGCAAAACGCTATGTTACATTTTGAAATTTCTAACCATTAACACCTGAAAGAATGTTTAGATTTTTTTTGTAGCCTTTCACATACCTATGATTATTGTATTTGAAAAGAGCTGTATTTCCGAATTAAACTTTAAGCAGATCATACATGAATTCTGTATATGTAGCAGGAAACTCTCTCTTAAAGGTCAAGGGACCAGCGATCAGAAATAACACCAGACAGTGACGGGAGAGCCAGGGAAGAAGAATGATCCGTTAGGTCTCTACCAGCTGTACCTTCAACCTTTGCTTGCCGGTGGTATTTAAATGTCAGTGTCTGCCCAGAGGTCCTGTGGTTGTGTCTTGTAAATTAACTCCGTCCTTTCATTTCTTTAGATGACACAGTTTATCTCTTTGTTGTAAACCACCCGGAATTCAAGAATACAGTGGAAATTTTCAAATTTGAAGAAGAAGAAAATTCTCTGGTGCATCTGAAAACAATCAGACATGAGCTTCTTCCAAGGTACTTCTTTATTTTGTTCACTCTCTACTTTAACTCTGGCATTTCCAGATATTTCCTGTGGTGAGTGGTCCTTTCCCTTTTTATGAAAGCTTATACATACTGTGTGTTTGTGTGTTTGTGTGTGTACTGCGTATATTTATGAACCAATATGTAAGAGCTAATCTATATACTGCATAATATATAGTTTAGATCTACCGATATTAAAGGGCTGTCCAAAAAGTGTCCAGCCATGTATGTCTCTATTTTTCATATTACTTGGCTGGACAGCCCTCATATATATCCCTTACAAATTAGGGAACGCCTGGCATGGGCAAGTTGATAATTATAATAATCAGTGCTGTATGAGGACTCCCTTGAGAAAGGGTGAATTACCCAACCTCACAGTGATACTCTCCAGCCCTATCTTAAGAGTAGATGACAGCGCCTACTTACTGTTTTTTCCTGCTGTCACTCTTTATCTTAGATGACTCATTACCCAAATAATAATAATAATACCATTCCTGCCAAGAGAGAGTAGTCTGTTTTATATGAAGTTCGTATGCTTTCTATGGGACTGTATACAAAATTCTTTTGTCAGGTTCGTGGTGGCTGGGGCAGTGGCCTCACAGAATTGAGGGCTTTCGTGTTGGAAGTGGGTCACTCCTCCTTAACATAAAGCTGGTTGATAATGAGGCCAAAAGACAATCCTGTGTATCCTCCCAGTCCAGCTTGCATTAGCCTATTGCTTCTTTTAGTTTAAACTTGATGAATAGTTTTAATTTCTGCTTTCCTAGTCTAGGGCATAGGCAGGTAACGTCCAATCATTCTTTCCAAATGTACTTCAAAAAAAGGGTTGGCGCATAAATACCATTCAGGCAGCCTCTGCATGATGGAGCGTTTTCAGAAAAAGGAGACCCACCTTCCCTGTACCTCTCTATTTTTCATTTAATAAAGAATAAAGCAGTTCTTTCTGAAATTTTTGCATAGGGTAATTGGAATTTAAATTTAATAACACCCTTGCCTAACTGATTTTAAAAATGTAATTGTTTTTAGCATATAAATCTCTCACCTGAAGCATTGTACTATGGCAGTTTCATCATCCATCTCTCTGCAAGTGTTTATTGAGTGCCTGTTCATTCTTGGCATGTCGGCTCTGTGAGGCAGGTAGAAATTGAACAGTCAACCTTAGTTTGACTAATAACTAAGCAAGGGAACTCAGGAAAATTCAGCAACTGAGTAAATTGAAGCTAGGTAAACACTGCTGATGGCCTGACCAGCTCTCCAGATAGGCTCTCTCCAGTGCTATGCCACACGCAGCTCATCCTTACATATAATTGTTAAACCCTGCATTTCTTGCTGTCAAAAAAATACCCTGATGGCACAAAGTTCTCTCTTCTTTCATAATAATCTACCATAATTGCTAAATGCCCTGTCTTCAAATTACCAGGTACCATACAAAGTCATTCTCTGGCAAGCATTTTAGTATATTGTGTGTAACTATAGTCATGTCATTTGAATTCACTTTTTTCTGGAAAACTTCATACCAAAGATTTAAAGCACATGTGGTATATACCTGAAGGGTACTTAATCTTTTCTTAAATTTAAACATTTTTACAGGGGTGCAAATACTTTTGGTTACGTGGATCACTTCTGTAACGATTGAGTCATGGTTTTAAGTATGGCCATCACCCAGATAGTGTTCAATGTATCCATTATGTATTTTGCCATTAAAAACCTCTCTCTCTCTGCTCCTATACTTAATCTTTAATATGGACACTAACTAGGCTTTTTATTTGCTCTCACTTGTTATTTTTATCTTTTAGTGTGAATGATATCACAGCTGTTGGACCAGCGCATTTCTACGCCACCAATGACCACTATTTCTCTGATCCGTTCTTAAAGTATTTGGAAACATACTTGAACTTACGGTGGTCAAATGTTGTTTACTACAGTCCAAATGAAGTTAAAGTGGTAGCAGAGGGATTTGATACAGCAAATGGGATCAGTATTTCACCTGATAATAAGTATGACCCCTTACAGAATATCTAATTTTTCCTCAGTCATGGTGTTGGACAAAGTTTTACTTTGCTTTTTATTTTCCTTTTCACTATGAAAATAGCTGCTTGAAATTTTTTACATATTATATAACATATATAAATACATATACTATATATGATTATATATATTTTGTAGATGTATTTATAAACAATATGTATCTATTATATATATTTACATTTATCATATGTGTGTGAATTTTGGCATATATTATTAATTTAATATAATAATAAATTTAATAATATAATAAATTTAATTTTACAAATAGAAATTTTGAAGTGTGATCAGACTTATGCATACAGATTAAAGTATTAGGTAGGTATATCCTTTTAAGTAAATATATCATTGTTTTTATTGGCTACATATTATTCCATTACAAGAAATAATTCCTAAATGAATTGAACCAGTGCTCTGTTTCATGGATATGTAGGTTCTATTTTTTTCTGTATAAAGACCATTTTAGGAGCACACCTTTGTTTTATACCAAAAACTTCAACTTTGATGAATATGTCGGTTATATTTTTTTCTGTACAAAAACCCTTTTAGGAACACACCTTTATTTTATTTCAAAGACTTCATCTTTACCCTGCCAACGCAAAGCAAACAAATCACCCCTCCCCCCCCAAAATTGTATATATCTCATTTACCACTGAAACTTACACTTGTCTAAGTAGATTTTAAAGAAAAACTCCATAAGAGAATATTATAGCATAATGCAGATTTTGGATTCTTACAGACATGGGTTCAAATCCCAGCTATGGCACTGGCGGAATGTATCATGAGCCCCTTTGCACATCTATATAAGTGTTTCTGTAAAACAAAGCCCTAGATATAGACCTACTTGTTCAAACCGTGTGAATCCTTTAAGCGTTAACTTCAGTAGACATAGCCAAATTGTCCTCCAAAATTATCTCACTGTTTTCATATGCACAGCCTCTAAGAAAGGATATTAAATTCTTTATTAGCTTTCTCGTCCACTGCCTTAGCTCACTGAACAATTTAAACTCTCACAAATATAACATAAAATAAATGTGGCATCCCTTGACAACTAGCCATCCTTATTTTTGTGATGCAATTTCTCCACTTTTCTTGTTGATTACAGAAAATGAATGTAGAATCATTTAATTTAAATTGTTTCTGACTGACCTCATCCAGCCTCTCCAGTCAAATCTGTTTTGCTCTCCAACTCTCATATTGCCATTATGAAAGTCAAACTTTCTAGTTACTCAAGCTAAAAAAAAAAATGATGAAAGTGGCGGGGGAGTCAGCTTTACCTTGTTCTCTGTCACCATTCCTGTCCAGCCTGGGAGCCTGTCATACTGGTTCTCACTGTGCCTCCTAACCCCACTGGTCCTTCTCTCCACGGAGACCTGCCTGGCTTCGGTGTGCATCCTCACTGGCTGGAGTAGGAGACTTTCTTTCTACTTGTTTTCTGTCTACTGCCATTGTTTATAGTCTTACCAGCTTTGTCTTTCCGTAGCCTGTTAGCTTGTAAGGACAAGCTAAATCCTCAAGACAGGATTTCTGTCTTCCTCGTCTTCTCATGCTGAGCACAGTGCCAGATGCAAAGCAAGGGCTCAGTAATTGTTGAATGGAACTGACCATTTGTTATTATGTCACTTTGGTATGCTAAAAATTCAGTGGAATCTGATTGCTTGTCGAATCAAGTTAGGTTAAGAGGTTGAACTTCATTGAATAGATAAACTCCAACTTCCCCTTTCTACTTTCCCATACTTTAGACCAAGACCTGATTTTGCAAACATTCCTCCCTCATTACATGTGATAAATGCTCGGTGGAACAGTTGCCCTGGAAAACAGTTAATTCGTTCACTCTTCTTAGACATAGACAGATTATTCTGGATAGACACTTATCTCTGACTCTTAAAAGTCTCCATGTGCTAATATTTTGTTTAGTATCAGTAAATAAACACTTTTAAGGTGTTCTGTACCGTATATTTCTATATGTAAATGATACTTCGAAATATAAAATTATACTGTGTACTGTAAAAGCTTTTCTTTTGTAGCCATTTTGTTTTATTCTCATTTCAATGGCAATATCACAGACTTTATATTCAAAATGATGTCCTACATTGCTTTTTTGTTGCAAGCCTTTTGAAAAATAATTTAATAATTCCATGATTGTTGTAGCACTACTGAATTGATTTTGAAAGCTTACTTTTTAAATAAAAATTGACCTTTATCAAGCATTCCTTGAGGGCCTATCATTGATTAACTTCTTGGCAGGTTATTAAGACTTATTCTTTCACACTGTGTTAATGAAGCTTTATATTGGCATGGTGCTCTAACTAGTGTGTCCTTTCTGCAAAGGTATATCTATGTTGCTGATGCACTGGCTCATGAAATTCATGTTTTGGAAAAACACCCTGATATGAATTTGACTCAAATGAAGGTAAATTCCCTCTTTTTTAAGTATATATAGACATCATTTTTTTTATACTTTGCCATTACATAGTTACACTGGCATTATTATCATACCACACTGAGAACAATATAAATTCTAGTGTAGGTATTCTGGGTTTTTAGGTATTATCTCCCCATAACTAGAGAACTCTCCTGTTGCCAGTGATCACAAGGAACAACTGTGATTACATGCAGCAGCAGGTTGAGAGTGATATCTGCATCAGATTTAGGGCCCATTCCATGAAGTATTGATGGCAGCCAGTGAATTCCAATAAGAATTTTCACAATTGAAAAGACTAATAGATGAATTCTCAAATGAAGATTTATGCACGTTGTCAGCTCTTTCAATAATAAATGAAGGTAGAAATTGGGTTCCACACCATTATTATTTCCTTCCTGCTCAACAACACATATTTTAGGTTGACTAAGAATTTCCTATCCTGCTTTGATTGAGTTCCTTGAGCAAACTGATCCTTGTGCATCTTTTAAGGGAGAAAGAATTCATTTTTTAAAAAGATTCTTAGAGAGATTGATTAACACCCTAACTTCCTTAATTTAAGGAAAGATGAAAAGCAGCTCCAAACTAGATTATGAAATTTATTTTAAGCAATATTAGAGTTAGAGAGTGGAAGGAGGGAGATTTGTATAATTCCCCCACGTGCATGGAGGCAGGAAAGGTTAGCTCTAAATTACTGAATCAAGCTTCTCATGTCATTTAGATGTTGGCATTTTTTCATTTGGAAGGTACTTAAGTTGGATACACTGGTGGATAATTTATCTATTGATCCTTCCTCGGGGGACATCTGGGCAGGCTGTCAACCTAATGGCCAGAAGCTCTTCGTGTATGACCCGAACAATCCTCCCTCATCAGAGGTTTTTATATTTTCAGTTCTTCAACCTTAATTATTCAAGTCCTTTTGAACTAATAATACAATAAACTGTCAAGGGGATGATTTGTTTAGTTCTTTTAAACCAATAATACAATAAACTTATGCAGTGGCTTTGTAATTGCTTTAAGCCAATAATTGGCAGAATGTTACTTTATTCACATACTTCAGAAAAGATAATCTTTTGATGTATTAAATTACAGTGGAAACTAGTCAAAAAGCATTTTTATAAAGACATGTGCCCTTCTTGGGTGGTATACTAGCAATTTTCAAAATATCTGGTTTATTGTCAATTCACCACATGACATGATTTTTGTTCATGTTGAAGTAGAGTGAGAGTGGGCCCATTAGTGTAAAAGTATTTCTATTAATGCTGAACTGCTATAATAACACTAAATCCTGTGTTGGCATGGAATAACTAGATGGTTTAAGAAAGTACTTTCTTTGAAGTTTGAGAAAGTACTTTAATTTAAGCATTAAAAAGATTAGTAACTGCTATTTTCAGCAGCATGTCCTCCTAATCAGTGTGTCTTTGTGGAAGACAGGGCTTATTGGTGATTGAGTGACTTAAGTGGATGGTGGTTTATATTAATACTTTGTATCCTCTGAATAGGTTCTCCGCATCCAGAACATTCTATCTGAGAAGCCCACAGTGACCACAGTTTATGCCAACAATGGATCTGTTCTGCAGGGAAGTTCCGTGGCCTCAGTCTATGACAGGAAGCTGCTTATAGGCACGTTATACCACAGAGCCTTGTACTGTGAACTCTAAATGGTATTGTGGGTCTGAGAGTGTACTAACTTAACAATTAATTTTCTATGAATTTCTAATACTGAGGGAATTTAACCAGGAATATTGACCCAGAAATGTGTGGCATGTATAGTTAATTTTACTTCATTTAGGAAAGGCCCCTCCAGTTCTCATTGCACTTTTAATATAAAAGGAAAATAACAGTTTTTTTAAAATGTCAAGGGAGGGAGAGAGAAGAAAGCTACTTTCCAGTAAAGTGGATACGCTTGGCACCAGAATGAGCCTCACCTTTGCCTTCCAACTGCCAGAACATGGATTCCACTGAAACAGGGTGAATTTTATTTCTTGAAAATATGAGTGACCTCAGTTCCAACCTTGTGACCACGTGACCGTTAAGAACTACTGATAGATAACATGCTTTGATGTTTTGTACTTACATCATTGTTTACTACTGAAATGTTCTAGTTATATTAAAGACAAACTAAAATCCAAGTTTTTTTCTGTCTTTGATTCTCAAGCCATGTCCTTGGGAGGAATGGGAAGATGGCCACTTCTTTGTGGGATTTTCTTGGGCTAGGCAGGCACAGGCATGTTAATTTTTCTCATTGAAAGCTAAATATGAATGAGTTCTTTATTTAAAACAAATCTAAAAAAAATCAAAATACTACAACACAAATTCTCTACGAAGTGTTCCCATCAGCTCTTTTCCTTAATGCGAGCCCACCTCGGACACAAGAGAAGATAAAAGGTTGAAGCTACCTCCTCATTGAGCAGAATTGTGACCTGAAGCCAGTTGTCCAAAACCTCCTAGTTAAATAACAATGCTAGAATCAGGGGCCAAGGATGAAACTATCTGAAGCTGCCCCCCATGGTAAGCTAGTTTACTTTTCATATTTCTTTTCCATCTTCATCACCATCGTCAAAATACTTAGCAGTTAAATGTGCCCAACTCTGTAGTGAAACTGTTACTTTGATTATTGCATTTAACCATACTTGTAGCCTTGAAGGAGTGGGTATTGATATTATATCACTGTTGACAATTCACAGGTATTCAGTGTGTTATTCCTCGTAAGGTCCGGATATCAATCTATTTCCAGTGCCGGTGCCTGTATCCTCAACTGCTACATGATGCGTCTGCCATAGAACAAATGAGTATTTTATTCATTACTTTTTTTCCTAACGTTTATAGTTTCTTCCAGGGTCTTTTTAGGGGTTTTGTTTGTTTGGTTTGTTTTTATTTCTGTAGGTATCAGTTTGAGTTCTGCTTTCGGATGAATTATTTAATGGCTTTTATTTATTTTTTTGTTTGGAGACTGTCTTTTTTTTTTTTTTGAGACAGAGCCTCAAGCTGTCCCCCTGGGTAGAGTGCCGTGGCATGACAGCTCACAGCAGCCTCCAACTCCTGGGCTCTCTCCTGCCTCAGCCTCCCAAGTAGCTGGGACCACAGGCGCCCGCCACAACGCCCGGCTATTTTTTGGTTGCAGCCGTCATTGTTGTTTGGCAGGCCTGGGCTGGATTCAGACCCACCACCTTGGGTGTATGTGGCTGGCGCCTTAGCCACTTGAGCCATAGGCACCGAGCCTGGAGTCAGTTTTGCTCTGTCACCTAGCCATAGTGCAGTGGCATCATCATAGTTTACAACAACCACATACTCAGGGGTGTTTTAATTCTTTTTAATCCAAGATTCCATTCAATGATGGAATCATTGATAGATATATATCATTTACATTTTCTTTAAAGCCTCAGTTCTATTATAATAGTTAAAATGAACATGAATATTTAATACAGACAGCAAGTAAAATATAAGGATATAATGTGCCATTTTTTCATTTTGTATGTGGATTATTCATTCATGACAATTAATCTGAGGCTGATTCTTTGTCTAGACTTTGATTTGCTCAATCTGAGTCCTGTCTTGGAGCCATAGCCTACCTAAGCTGCTGAATGTCTCCTCAGCAAAGTCATGGAGAAATCACAGTGCTCTCCTCTACACCACCCACTTCTACCTTTCTTTGGCTACTTGTAGTTTTCATTACTCACATGGCTTTTCATGAAGGGATTTATGGATGTGAAAGAAGGAGGGCTGGGAGAATTCTAGTTGTTCTCTCTTAACTTTCTGCCCCTGCTTTTCAAAATTTTTCTGCCAGTGTGCATAAGTTTCATTCTTACTGTAACTGAGTTTAAACATACTTGCAGATATTTTAGGAGGTTTGTCTTTATTTGCCTGTGAACTTTTTTTATCTGTCTTTGTTCCCCTTTGAGGATATTGATCTTAAGAATTTCTAGGAGTTTTTCATGTGTAAAGAATGGAATTGTTTTTCTAGCTCATAACTGTAAGCCATCAGTTATGCAATTCTTGATAGGGCTTGAAAGCACAAGGAAATGATGTTTCTCATTAGAGCAGAAAGCAGTAAAGAAGGCTTCAGACTTTCAAAATCATGGACTCCAGCTGTCCCATCATTTGCAGTATCGAGTGCAGGAGATGCTGTTCAGAATTTTAAGAAAGAACTAAATGTGACAAGAAATAAATGTATTCCATAAACTTGATTCAGAGCCTGAAAATCATGATCATAATAAACATATCTTTTGTTATTCCTCTTTGAAGAAAATGTAAAATTTCTCCTATACTACCAAATGGAAAGCACAGCTTTAAAAGCATTCCCTGTTCTTCTATCTACGTTGCCTCTGATCTCTGGTCCATATATCCACAAACACAGTCCTCTCCAGCAGATTCTCCAAACCTAGACAATTTATTTTACAAAATACAAACAAAATATTCTTTACACATTGGCCACTTCTTTGAAAAATTTTCTAACGAATGTTTTGTAAATAAAGGTACATTTAGCTACAATCTCCCATTTTTTCCATGCACGGTGACTTTAGAGGTGACTTTTGAAACACTGTGTATTTTTCAAATACATATAACTCAAGGACACTGTAAAACAATCTGCAGATGTTTTAATCACCATCATGCATCTTATCCAGATTACTCTACAGTCTCCAACTATGTGCCACCCTCCAGAATAGATAAGCCCTCTACCTGTTCCTTGATCTGGCTCTCTCCTTGCCAAGCAATGCTTCTAAAACATCTGCTGGGTCATATAACTTCCAGGGCTTTCCCAATGCCCCTTAAGATATAATTTAAGAGTTAACTTGGCCTATATGGCCCTGCCTACCTCTCCAGGTTTGATTCTCACCATCTTCCTCCTAGTCGTTTATGCCCAGCAGTTCTCAAAGTGTAGTTCCTGGACTAGTAGCATCTTATCACCTGCGAACTTGTTAAGAGATGCAGATTCGCAGGCCCCACCCCAAATCTAATAAGAAACTCTGGTGTAGGACCAGCAATCTGTGGTTTCAAAAGCCCTTCAGGTGATTTTTATGCCTGCTAAAGTTTGAGAAGCGCTGCTATATCCACGTGGGACAGATTTCATTTTCCTTTCCAATTCCCCAGTACTTGTAGTTGGCCTGCCCTTTTTCTGTGAACTTTCTTCTGCCTAAATAACTCCTCCCGTTCCTGGCCATACAGTGGGATACATTCATGTTGAATCAAACAATGCACCATGCTGGATTCACCTTAAGGTGTGATCCAAACTAGAGTCACGGAGGAGCTACAGAATGTTGATGAAGGATCCTCTGCAGAGAGTTAGATAAATCCGGAAAGGCCCTTTCTGGCACAGTGTGACCTGACCCCTTGAGACCCCCTCCATCCACTTGGTACTTACATAGTAAAACATAAGCCCGGAGGAGCCCTGGTGTTTTCAGCTGCCAACTATGCTCAGCATAGGTGACTCCTTGCTCAGCATAGGCTGAACCTGACATCCTGAGCCTGGGCAGACCTTCTGCATCATGGGCTGCAGGAATTAACTGAACAATAAATCAGACATTTGCCATGAGGCTTCATTATTAGATGCATCCTCAGTGAAACTGAGAATTTTATTTAAACTTAAGTATACATAAAATACTTAAATACAAATTTATAATAACAAATGTTCTAAATACTATAAATCATTTCCTAGAATAATATAAGCTTTTAACTCTTTTTTCTCTCCCAAGCAGCACAAGACATATGTCAGGGACATGCAGTTGTTTTGACCCAGAATTTAAACATGGGCATGGCTTAGGATAATGTTTCCTAAAATTTTAAAATCCGTATTCTGTTTTTTTAATAAAATAGCTTTTGGACTGGACACAGTGGCTCACACCTGTAATCCAAGCACTTTGGGAGGCTGAGGCAGGTGTATCGCCTGAGCTTGAGTTCAAGACCAGTCTGAGCTAGCACAGGACCCCATCTCTACCAAAAATAGAAAAACTGGCCAGGTGTTGTGGCAGGTGCCGATAGTCCCAGTTACTCTTGAGCCCAAGAGTTTGAGGTTGTTGTGAGCTATGACACCATGGCACACTAGCCTAGGATAACAAAGTGAAACTCCGTCTCAACACCTCCCCCCAAAAAAAAACTTTTGTAAAAAAACAAAAAAAAAACAAAACTGCTTTTGTGATATAATCCTGTTCTCTTGATTTGTTCCTCTTTCCTCCTATCACTACCCCTTTTTCTGGGCAAGGTTCACTGCTACAAACGATTATTTTAAGTTAAAAATGTAATTATAAGCATGATCAAGACATGTGCTTTAAAAATTGCAAACATCACAGAATGTCATACAATGGAAGCAAAGGCTCCTTTCACACTCACTGTCTTCCCCACACTCTGGGACCCCAATCTTTTGCTCTTGAAGTCATTATTCTTTGGTTTGTGTCTATAGATTGTTGGGGGGTTTTTGTTGTTTTTTTTTAAGACAGAGTCTCACGCTATCCCCCTGGGTAGAGTGCTGTGGCATCACAGTTCACAGCAACCTCCAACTCCTGGGCTCAAGCGAGCCTCCTGCTTCTGCCTCCCAAGTAGCTGGGACCACAGGCACCTGCCACAATGCCTGGCCATTTTTTGGTTGCAGCCGTCATTGTTTGGCGGGCTGGATTCAAACCCACCACCTTAGGTGTATGTAGCTGGCACCTTAGCCACTTGAGCCACAGGCGCCGAGCTTAGATTGTTTTTATGTACATACATACATGTGTGTAATACTGTGGTCCCCAACCCCTGGGCCATGGACCAGTACTGGTCTGTGGCTTGTTACAAACTGAGCCACACAGCAGGAGGTGAACAGCTTACAAGTGAGTGAAGCTTCATCTGTATTTACAGCTGCTCCCCTTCACTCACATCACAATCTGAGTTCACCTTCTGTCACATAAATGGCAGTATTAGATTCTTATAGGAAGGGAAATCCTATCGTAAGCTGCATGTGACGGATGTGGGTTGTGTGCTGCTTACGAGAATCTAATGCTCACCTCCCATCCCCGTGCATGGAAAAATTGTCTTCCATGAAACTGGTCCCTGGTGCCAAAACAGTTGGGGACCACATAATTCCCCTATTTTTTATATACGCATGTGAAAGAATGATACCATGTGTACATTCTGCATCCCCCCAAATGGTGTTTGATTATCAATGGCATTGCACACACCAGACATATGATCCACAGTATTGCATCATTTGTTGTTCAGACATAAACTGTTTCATTTGGTCCGCATTAGCCCTTTGAAAAGACCCAATGTACATGGAAGAAAAGAAAGGGCCAGAGATGATAGGCGATTTCTAAAGATTAAAGAGCCAGTTCCAAACGGGTAACTTAACTAACTCTGGAACTGTAACTTAAATCTAAGACTGTTGAGTTCATTTGACTTGCTCTTTCAATAACTAACCCCTTTTATGACACTGATGGTCTGTGACATCTTGACCAAGTCAAATTGGTCTGTTGCCAGGGTGTCTTTGCTGCCTGACAATAGCCTTCAAAGATTAGATGTGAATGAAGCTGTAGGTTCCTTTCCCATTATCTCATTGCTAGGTAGTAGGGTCCAATAAGCACAAGGCTGAACCCCAAATCTATTGCACATGAGTGTTTATTAACAAGCAGGCATGAAAACCATTCTATAATCTGTTATTTTGTAAACTCTATGGAATCCCAGCACTGGTATTTCAATAAGGCCCTAATAAAATGGTTCAGCCTGAGTCAAGTTTGAATGGGAGGATTCAACTCATCTCAGGTCAGAAAGTAGAATCGTTTGGGGCCAATGTGTGGACACAGCACTCAGCAGCAGTACGAGGAAGCTGGCCTTTTAGTTTTTATTCTTCTTCTGTGCAGTCCTCATATGTCTTGCTAATCCACATAATTTGAACAAAATTGGCTTTACCATGAATAGTTATTTCTATTATCTCTTGTGCTAATGAGTAAACTCTCCGTGCACTGATTTAGATGGTGACACTCCATATAGTGGTCTCCAAAATTTGAAATTTTTTAATGTTAATTTGCAATACTGGTGATTTGCATTACTGATTATGGTATTCAAATAAAAGACTAACTGCTTCAAAGGTTTAAAATTAATGTATACACAGACACATTCCTCTGCCTAAAGAATTTTTAAACAAATTATAGATAATGTAGTACCCTTAATAAGTTACCCAAGACTATGCTTCTTTCCTTGGCCCCTTCTTCATGCTATGCTGCAAGACAGTAAACACAGTGATAAGGAACATGATAACTAGAGTCACTTGACCTAAGTCCAAATGGAGGCTGACACTTCTCGGTTATGTAACCTTAAACAAGTTATTATTAACCTCTCTAAGCCTCACTTTCCTTCTTTGTAAAGTGAGGCTAATAAGAAGTAATGTGACAGGCATGAAAATGCTTAGCTCATAGTCTGATTATTTTCTCACCCACTCTATTTATTTTTACTCTTCTAAGTTTTCTTTCTCCCAAGTTCGTATCCATCTACTTGTATTGTTGTGCCACTATGAAGTACAAATTTCTATGGATGGCACTGGAAGATACGAAGATCAATGGGAAGAGGTCTCTCCCCACAAATGGCCTACAGTCTCAAGCAGAAGTTCAAACGTAGTGGTTCATCTTTATTGACTGTCTAAAATGTGCCGAGCACAGTGTAGAGCACTTTACACTCATTATCACATTTAATTTTAAGCTATTTATGAGGTGGATACTCTTTTGTAGAAGAGAAATCTGTAGCTTCAGAAAGATGAGTACCTTATTCAAGCTGGATCTAAACCCAGGCAGCCTGATGCCCAAACCCTGTGTGCATGGTCCGTACCACACCTGGCCCCTCAGTTCTATAAGCCCTTTCCCTCCAGAGTCCTCCTGGAAACAGCATTTATTTCCTCCTCTGTATGCACTCTTTCAAAATTAGTCATTTTTCTGAGGCAAGAAGATTGCTTGAAGCCCAGAGTTTGAGACCAGCCTGGTAACATAGCAAGACCCTCAACTCTACAAAAAAAAAAAAAAAAAATCAAAATCAGCTGGAGCATGGTGGTATGCACCTGTAGTCCTAGCTACTTGGGAGGCTGATGTAGGAGGATCACTTGAGCTGAGGAGTGGGAGGCTGCAGTGAGCTAGGAATCATGCCATTGCATTCCAGCTTGGGCAACAGAACAAGACCCTGTCTAAAATAAAATAAAATCATCATCTTAAAAAGAACCCTCTTATCTATTCACCTCCAAAGCTTTCATAGAGCAGTGTGATACAGGCAGCTAGTTAAAGGCACAGACTTTGCAGCCAGACTGGTTGCTGCTTACTAGCTGTGTGACCTGGAGCAAGACACACTACCACTTTGTGCCTCGGATTTCTCACCTACGAACTTGGCATAATGTTACCTACATTGGAGGTTGTTTTGAGAACTGAAAGAGTAAACATAGGTAAAGTTCTAAGCACAGGCAAAGCACATAGTACCCTTCCTATGGGTTTCATCATTCATCCCATAATTACGTATTCATGCTGTAATTATGTATCCCATAGGTCAGGGACTACGTTTTCTTTTCCAAGTATTCTCAGGTCTGCAAAATCTTGATCTCTAACGCACACTTAGTCCGTTGAAATGACTAAGACTACTATTTCTTTCTGTTGATAAATAAAAATAGATCATGCTTACACGTGCTGCTTTGCCCAAACTCAAGCTTTTCCTCATCTTTACCTCCTTCCCTCCAACCTGGGCTGCGTGCATTCCTCCTGCCAAAGAAAGAAGGAACAAGCAATATTTGAAAACCTAACCTCCCAAGGAAACCACTTTCCTTTCCCCCACTCTGCTCATCCTCCCTTTTCCACTTTTCCTTCTCATCTCTGAATTTTCTTTATCCCATCAGCCATCAGGACAGGTACTGATACTAGTCCATCTACTCAACCAATTGAACCAGCCTGGCAACATAGCAATACCCTCATCTCTACAAAAAAAAAAGAAGAAGCAGCAGCAGCCCATCTCCCCACAAGCTCTGAACTGGGCACCCAGCACGCGGAGCACTCTGAGGTAGGCAGGGCCTTCAAGGTCCGGAGAGCAGGCTCTGGGCCGCAAATCTTGGGGCAGGCTGATTTAAAGCTCTCTACTCGGATTACCTTCTCCTTCCAGGGTCTCAAGAGCAATTCTCTTTGATCTCAGGTCTTGCTTCCAGAGGCGCGAAGTTTCAGGCTCTGAACTCCAGATTCCCGCTCTCTCCAACACTTTCAACTTCCCCCTCACTGCCTTTGATGAGCAGAGGTAGAATTCCGCAGCTTTTAGGGGCAAACTCCCTCGGCGGGTTCCGCCACTCAAGTGTTCTTGCCAAATTTCCAAGTCAGGAGTACGGCAGCAATCCAGGACTTGACTCTCTGTAAATTGAGACCTGGAGAAAAGAAATTTTGCGCGTCAAATTTCGCGCATAAAGTTGGCCTTAGGTCTCGCGCAGAGAGGTTTGCTTGTACCCGGGAGTGTAAAGGGGCCTTGAACTCCCGCGGGGCCGCGGGTGGCACCGCAGCGGTGTCTGGGCCGCACCTGGCGGGAGGCGCCGGGGGCGGGGCCGGGCGCACCAATCGGCGGGCGGGGCCGGATCCTGCCCGCTGCCCCTGGGGAGGACGCGGCGCCCGCGCTCAGCCCCAGCACCCAGACAGCATGGGGAAGCTAGTGGCGCTGACCCTGCTGGGGGCCAGCCTGGCCTTGATCGGGGAGAGGTTACTGGCGTTTAGGTGAGTGGTACCTTGATGGGGGTCGACCTCGGTTCTTTTCCCCAACTCTTCCAAGTTAGGTCAACCGCGGCCGGGTACTGCCTTCCTAATGCGTAGGAATGAGCAGCTTTGGAACCTCACTCTTCAATCCCAGCCGAGAACTATCCCTTTCCACATTAAACTTATGTGGAAAGTGACCTGACTCCTTGCCTTTCCTAAAACAGTAGGGAGGAAATACCTTCATCTGTTCTCTGACCCCTTCTAGAGGTCATCCTCCACATTCAGTCCATGGGAGGCGCTGGACTTGGAGAAGGGGATGGGCTAACCGACTGAAACTTTGCCCAAGCCCTGTTAAACACCGGGAAGTACTGGGTCAGGGTACCCATCAGAGAGCTAGCCAAACAGCAGGATGGTGGGCTGAAACCTGCGGGTGGTAACTGGCATTTTGCCAGCACTTGAACTTCAGAAGTGGAAGCTCTAGTGGTGAAAGCCATTCTAGAAATGTCTCCGGGGAAAAAAAATCAGGACTGGGCTAGAAAGAAGAACCGTAATGGAATCCATTCCTGAGTGGCTGTAAAGCCTCTCCCTATCATCCTTACCTTCAGGTTGTTTTGATGGCTCTCTCTTGATAGACGCCCATCTCCCCACTGGCTCTTGTCTAGACACTGTTCTGGGGCCTGGTGATTTGGGGTACTACTTTCTCTAGTTCCGCTTGATAGCTTTATTGTTACATTTTCCTCTAGTGTAACCAAGTAAAATAATCACAAAATAATAAAGTCGATCTAATGGATGTTTATTAATAAGCAACTGTAAGGTAAGTATAAGTGTAGAGTCTCCCTAAATATAGTTTATTAAAAATTCACAAGCATTCCTGATAATGTAGTAGAGTATTTCACTGTAGAAACGAGAATACTATTGAAAAATAATTTGGCCAAGTGTTTAAATTGTGGTCAAGTCAATGGATTTACATATTTAAAAAGTAAGTCAGCATAAAATTTAAAATAATAAAGTTAAGCAGACTCTGTTGAACTTTGGGAAGGCAATTTGGAAGGAAGGGTTCAAAGGGTAAGACTAGACCAGGATGAAGGGAGAAAGTGTAGGTTTATAATAGGAAATACTTTAGAAAAATTAATTATGCTATTTTGTGTATTTAAATTAATTATATTCAGTTACTCATGCTATTAAATAGTGTTTTTTATCTGGGCAGCAGGTGTTTGCTGTGTATGATTATATATTAGTCTCTCAGCAATAACTGGGTGAGATTAGCTGATGCACGTGTGTTACATAATGCCTGCTTGTGTAAAGAAACATAAAGGTGCCTAATTTCTTATTATATCATTCATAAATTACGACAAGGAGATTAACAATCTGAAGGTGATTAAAGGTCATATTAAGACATAGTTTTTGAAGGCTGTGCCTTAACCTTTAGGGTTGGTTTTTATCTCTACAGAAAAATAATGAATGCTTCTCTAGATATAGAGCCAGTGGAGCCTCAGAACTGCCACCTTATTGAGGGACTCGGTACGTATGTTATGGTAATTTCAAGGCACCAGAAGGAAAGAGCACATTTCCTTGGTCGCCATTCTCCTGCCTGAGCCTTGCCCACACATGTAGTTACCTGTTTTTAGACTTTCCCAGTGAAACTCTGACCCATCTACTTTACCCAAGCTACCCAATCCCCAGTCTCCAAAATGTGTGGTTTTTCTCGGGCCATTTCCTTCCTGACGTCTCTCCCTCATTTAAAGAATGTTATTGACTACTCTGGGCTATTCCTTTGCTAAATTCTCCTTTTTTCCCTTCTATGATATTTCACTTTCCTCCCTGTCTTCTGTTACCCGTCTTAATTTTTTTGTCCATTTCTTCCTGACACTGCTGCTAAAAAAAAAAAAAAAAAAAATTCAGGCTAGATTTTGTCCCCTGTTTAGAGAATGTGTTCTTCCACATTCTCACCTTCGCTTATGAAATTCTCTGCACTGATCCTTCCATCTCTGCTTGCTGAAATCAGCTGCAAATTCATCTCCTTCCTCTGAACTCACAGCACTCTGAAACTCTGATTCGTTTATGACACCTACCACATGCCTTGTTTCAGAGCTAGCAGTGTTCTGTCTTTCACTATTAGATTATAAACTCCCTAGGCTCAAGGACTGGGACTTATTTATTAGAATGTGACAGGATAGTTTATTTTGTGATAGAAATTTATTTTTTATTTTTCTTGCTATATTAAAAAAACAGAAAAAGAGTACTTCTGATTTTGGTTTTCTGCCCTTTTTATAACTCTCAACTTCTTAAAAAAAAAAAAAACACATTAAAAAGTAACTTGAACCTTGTGCTCCATAATCTTTGAGGTGGCTTGTGCCGACAGCTGGAAAGCAGAAGGAGCTGAAGAAAGCCCCCTTCCTGACTTTTGTTTTGAAAAACCTGAGCTCCTTCAAGAAATTCTAATGGAGAAAGGATAAGAAAACGTGGATTTCTTTGGCTAACAGGGGCCCCGGCCCCACCACCTGATAGCATTTTGGGGAGAAACAAGACCTCAGAAGAAATAGCTACAAGATATCTTCAGGGATAAGACCAGTGTCCATGTCTGTGCATGGCATTGGACAAGGATTGGATAGCCTTGGCCGTAATCCAGTGGCGAATGAACGTCCTTACCCTCCCACATAGAATCATTGCACAGCCCTAACAGAGAGACGCAGTCATGACTCAGATTGAATTTCCCATCAACTTAGTGGAGTGGGCAGTCAGGATCAGATTTAATCTGATTTGAAAAATAAGAAAATGTGACATTTACTCGTTTACTAATCGTGTGGAGTAATATTCATACTTGCTATACACACATACATCTATATCTCTCAAAAGATATGAGCTTGCCAAGTAATTCAGAGGGATAATTAGATGATGGATAAGGGCTAGTCTGACTCTCAAGTTGTCTGATATAACTGGATTTGAGAAACAAGTTGTGGATTGGTATTCTGATCATCCAAATATTTTGAATAGAATAACTTAAATAAGGAGAAGTTGGTGGGGAACACAGAAAAAAAAATCATGTTACTTCTCATGTTGGCATATTAACATTTTATGTTTGAAGAACTTAACCAATTGGAGTAATTATAGGTCATCAGTTAGTAGGACAATACTGACGTGTACCTAAAAAAAAAGGCTGCCTTATTAAAGGTCTAGTATCAGTGAGTATGCTGTTGACTCCTCTGCTAACATCGATGTAATTCCCCATAAAGGGGGTGGTGCTGATATTCTGCTTTGCAGATTAGGAAACTGACACAATGAAGAACTAAGTTACTTGCCTAATGGTCCAGGACCAGAGGGTGATGGGCTTAGATTATGAAGCAGAGTGGTTTTTTTTGTGTTTTTTTTTTTAATGCCTTGTACTCTCTGTTGGGTAACATCCCTTTTGTTCTCTAATGAAGACACATTTTTATTGTGGAAGCTCCAGGAAAGAATTATGGCAACATCAGAAAATCTGAGATGCAAGCAGATTAAATATTACTTAATACAGTCTGATCAAAAGAATTAGTTATCTAATTCGTTATCAGGTAACTAACAAGACAATACTTCTAAGACCCAACTAGTCAACGACTGGAAGGCTTTATGAAGCTATGGAAAACCACTACAGGATTTTAGGTAGGGTATGGTGGGCTGTCACAGTGCTGGAGAAAAAGGATTATTTGTATTTTTTTCAACATCCAGAGTTTTGAGGTTAATTTTATTGGTAGAAGAAACTGTTCTGTTTGTTTTTCTTACCCAATATTTTTTCTGAGAAAAAAATGTCGAAATGTAAAATGTATCTCCCTCTGTAAATCATATCTCATAGATCTGTTTATATCAAGCAATCTTTTATACAAGGTTTTGAGGTTCAAGGATTATTTTAACCAGGAAATTATCTGGCTGTCCTTGGAATTCAATCAAAACTGCACTTGAAATTCAAATAGCCTTCTGAGGGCTTTTCACTAGGCAGGATTATCAAGTAGGCAGCCTGGATATTAGATCGCTTCCTAGCTCCCCTTCTCCCTTCTGTAGCCTCTTAGGACTCCAAGATTTGCTTTTCCTCCATAGTAGGTTCCATTTGTTTTTCTTGGCTGGTTGTCAGGAACTTCTGTCCAAGATGTGAAGTGATAACGATGAAATTCACTGATAAAAATGTTTCGGTATGATCCTTTCTCAGACTGCCCGTAGGGGATGATTGGAGACATAAGGAACGGATTGAAGAAATGAATTGATGCCAAGTAGCAGTAGGTTTGGCAGGCTCTAAAGCAGTGGGAACCTATTCATAAGACGGATGTTAGACTTAGCAGTGTGTTTTTAATGATAGCTGTGCACAAGCTAATGAGTCCTTGGGAAAGACTCAGAGGGGGGTGTCCCAGGGCTCTTGCTCCCACAGGTGCCACTGTTGCTGAGGTGCACTATGCCCATGATGCAGGTGCAGTGGAGACAGGGGCAGGAGGGGTGGAAATATTGTGCGGTCTTGTGTAGTGATTCTTTTCTATCTCCGAATGCCAAGCACCAGGTTTCCGTCTCTAGATGGAGCAAGTTAATAAAGCAGGCACAACTTCTCTGTAGAATGCCCACTGTGATGTAGGTGAGTTATTGAGGTGGGTTTATGCTGTCATAACAGATACATAAAATGCTATTTGGAAGAGAGAAGGAGCCAAACCA